GGGGGGTGTTTTTTTGGGGTTTTTTTTTTTTTTTTTTTGCTCAATAACTTTGGTCTCTCCCCATCCTTTTTTTCCCCCTTCAACAGAATTTTTTTCCCCTTTTTTTTGGGGGGGGGGCGGTATTTTTGTTTCAACCATCTGGCAACCCTAACAGGAACAGTGAGACTCAAACTAATGGTGCTGAGTTGTATAAAAGCACAAAAGCTGTAGGAGACACAGCAGTGCAGAGTCACAGGACACCAAGTGACAATACAACAGCTGGAGTTTGAAATCATTTAGCGCTTTTCCCGCTGTGCTACCGACTTATGCTGGGCTAGGTCAGGGCTCACAGCTCAGCAGTTTGTTTGTGAAACAGTCCCACTTGTCTAGCCAGGCAGAGAGGGAAAGCAGTGTCCTTGGCTACAGCTGTTAACCGCCCATCCAGGTCAGCATGTGCTCTAACACCACCCTGGAGCCGTGCAACTATGTACAGCCTAGCTACTCTTCCAGTCACTTCCCCACCATCACCTCAGCCTGGCCTGGCCCAAGGCTCAGCCAGTTTGCCCTGTTCCACATTCGCCATGGGACCACAGAGCTTTGCGTTGGACTTACAGCAGTTCTGTTCCTTACCAGGTACTTTCAGCCTAGAGCCAGGGGGGCAGACAGTGGAGCGAGTACACATTTCACAGTTCCAGTCTGTGGTGTTCCAGTCTGTGGTGTAACTGCAGAAATGCCCCGGGGCGCAGCCGCACAAAGTCTCCTTCATATACGTGCATTTCTCATTTGTCGGCAGCCTGGCTCCTGTACCAAAGCAACAAATACCACAAATGGGAGACAAACCGAGCAGATACAAAAAGTAAAGTGCACCCCCCATCCTCACAGATCCACTGCTACATGGCACAGGAGCTAGAGGGGTTTATCATATCTCCACTTAACCAGTGTAGCCATGTAAACAAAACCATCTGGAGCCTGATTCTCAGCCGCCCTGCACCCTGTGTTGTATTTGTATCTCTGCAAAGGGTGCGGGCAAATTGCTCTCAATTCAGCCTTCTCTGCTCAGTTGCAGTTGAAATCCTGCTTTGCACCCACTCTGCCATCATCTGCACAGGTATAATAATGACAAAGGTGGTGGAGGATCAGGCTCCCTGTAGTCACATACAAAGCACGTCACCCTCCAGCCCAGTGGGTCCCTGGAGGAGCAGTCCACTGGAGGGGGACTGTGGGGTGGGGTAGAGCTGTCACAACACCAGCTACACAAACCCTCTTCCTGGCTGCTCTGCTGATCCCCATCTGCTGAGACCAGGCTTTGGAGCCAGAGGCAGCTGGTGCAAAGTAGAGCAGCCTGCAGGCTGTTCCAATTAATGCTGGGGACCACCAGACCCTGCTGGCCCCAGTGGCAGAGGAGCGGCAAGGTGGTGTTTTGTCTCTCCCACCTCCTGAGATAGGCCAGTGCCCCTCGACCACGGCTCTGCATCCAGGCCCTGAAAAGGGAAGTTCTGCCCTTCCCAGGGTACAATACAGGCCCTGAGGGCGCAGCCACAGCGCTGCTGGTCTAGGACAGAGCATTCCATCTGGAATATTATTATTATCTATTGTGTTTGTTCCACTTCTGCTAACTCTACAGACCCACTTTTCCACTGCAAATGAACTCCTGGGAGGATCCCACGGACCTTCATGGAAGAGGTCTTTAAAGTGCAGCACACGGGCTCTTGGACTTCCAGGTGTGTATCCTAATTGGCCCTGCTTTTGTCAGTGTGAAGTGGGCAAAAGGACTCAAAAAACTAATTAAAATCCACCTTCCACACACACACACTCTCTCTCTCTCTCTCTCACTCTCCCATCCCCTCCTCCCCACTCCTTTTACCTGTGTCGCACAATTCACATCTCTGGCACTCTGTTAGGCCATTGGGATGCTCCGTGTACTTGTCTCTCATACAAGGGATGCAAGTCGTGGTGACTTTTAGTGCACAACGTCTGGCCACTGTGTTCCCTAACACAAACAAAACATTAGCTCCTGAGTAAGCCAAGTTATACAATGCATTAATACAGAGATTGCAAAATTAGGTAATTATATATAGAGTCATAGAACACTAGAACTGGAAGGGACCTCAAGAAGTCATTGAGTCCAGTCTCCTGCCCTTACGGCAGGATCCAGTATTGTCTAGACAATTCCTGATAGATGTCTGTCCAACCTGCTCTTAAATATCTCCAGTGCTGGAGATTCCACAACCCCCCAGGCAACTTATTCCAGTGTTTAACCACCCTGACAGGAAGTTTTTCCAATGTCCAACCTCAACCTCCCTAGCTGGAGTTTAAGCCCATTGCTTCCTGTCCTATCCTCGGAGCCAAGGAAAACAATTTTGCTCCCTCCTCCTTGTGACACCCTTTTAGACACTAGAAAATGGACCATGTCCCCTCTCGGGCTTCTCTTTTCCACACTAAAGAAACCCAATTCTTTCAGCCTTCCCTCATAAATCCATTTCTTCTAGACTTTTAATTGTTTTTGTTGCTCTTCTCTGGACCTTCTCCAGTTTCTCCACATCTTTCTTTAAATGTGGTGCCCAGAACTGGACACAATACTCCAACTGAGGCCTAATCAGCACAGAGTAGAGCGGAAGAATGACTTCTCGTGTCTTGCTCACAACACACCTGTTAATGTATCCCAGAATCATGTTTGCTTTTTTTGCAACACTGTTGACTCATATTGAACTTGGAGTCCACTATGACCCCTAAATCTCTTTCAGCAGTACTCCTTCCTTGACAGTCACTTCCAATTCTGTATGGGTACATCAAAACTATACCCCTCTGTTGGCAGACGGATGTAAATTAGACGTATTGAAAGTGCAAATGAAGCCGGGATTTAAATATCCCACACTTCATTTGCATATTGGCTGCTTTTTTTCGAAACGAGTCTTTTAAAAAATGGCAGGTTAGACGGGGCATTTTCGACAGATCCTGTACTCCTCATTCAAAAAGATCCTGTACTCCTTTACGGAACCCGGTAAGCACCCGGTATTTTCGCCTCCTGGTCGAGAAAAAAAAAATCAGAAAATACCGGACATTTTCTAAATTTTTTTTACCAGACAGGAGGCGAAAATACCGGACTGTCCGTGTCAATAGTGGACACAGGGCAACCCTAACAGAGACAGATCTCTGTGTCCTCACCACCAGTTACATCAGGCCTGGGAAAAATACAGCCCGTGGGCCAGATCCAATCCATGGATACTGCAGGGAATCCCAGGAAGGCTCCCCATTTTCCTTGCCCCATGCTCAGAAACGAGGCTGTGCAGTCGTTTCACTTTAACAACTGAGCCCGGAGAGGAGGGGAAACTTAGATGCTGCTCCTGTCCCCAGCACAATCCCATTGGCTAGTTTAGGTTTCAAGAACAGGCAGCCAAGAAGCACAAGGGGCCCGTAGTTATTCACAGAGCACATGGCTTCAGGGTGGTGCATGGGGGAGGCAGCGAGGCTGATTCAGGAAGGGGCTGCTGGCTGGTAATCCTCCTGGTCAGAACCTTCATCTGGTACCCAAGTCCCTCCCTTCCCCAACCCTCTGTCCCGCTACTCCACATACCCACATCCTCTGCCCCACTTCTGCACCCATACCCCCTCCCAGATCTAGCACCCTAATCCCCGTCCGAGATCAGTCCCCTCCTGCCCTAGCTCACAACCTAAACCCCTGGACCTCCTCCTGCACCAGGTCACTATCCAACCCCCTGCAACCCTAGTCCAGTGCCCCAGGTTACAACTGACTCATTCACCCAAACACCCTCGCTTACCCCAACTTCCCTTCTGCACCAACCTCCATCCCAGACCACGCACCTCCTCCATTAGTATCATGGAAGAGTGCGGCCCTCGACCAATGTCCAAATTCTTGGAGTGACCCCTCCCATCAAAAATTATTGCCCACCCCGAGTTACATTCCCAGTAGCAGAGGGTGTGTCCTTAAGTGACAGAGTCAATCTTTAGAAAGACCCAGTCACATTACGTACCTCCAAAGCACCTGCGACAGCAGTCAACCGGTACCTCGTATTCATGGGGGTGGCACAGTGGCACTTCCGAATGAGCCAATTGTGTTATCCAGAGAATGCCAAACACCTTAAGGGAGGAAGAGAAGAAAGAGGGTCTGAGCGGCTTTGCGCAGGCTCCCGAGCAGACAGGGCGAGGTTCCTTTGCCATAAGAAGCAGCGTTCACATGCTGCCTGTTACTGCAATAAAAGGGCCCGTGGTCATGTGACACCCTGCTCTCCCCTGACACTGAACTAGGAGCTATTCCAACAAGGAAAACACCATCCCTGCAGCCAGCTAGAGGCTCCCCCGCCCATCTCCTTCCTGTTTCCCCTGCTACTCCTTTAAACAGACCCTGCGCCGTCTCCCCGCTCTGTGTAGCAGACCACAAGTGACTGGGCTAAGGCCCCCCCCCCGCCATGGCAGCCTGTCTGTGCGAGGGGACAGCAGCTTAGATGTAAGGCTGTGAACTGGTAACCAGTTAACTGGTTGCCCAGTAAGCATCACCCTTCACAGGAGCCCTCCCTGCCCTGCCGCTTCCACCCAGTGTGAGCCTGCAGACACCAGGCCCCGAGCCTGCGCCGCTGGGAGCCAGCAGCCTGTCCGCCCCCACCCTCCTTACTGCCACTTCTGTCCCCAACCCACATGGGGCTACCAGCTCGGAGTAGCTGGGATGGAATAGCCCCCGCCTGTCCCTGTTAAATCAGTTAACCAGTTAAACTTAAAATTTAACAGGTTAACTAATTAAACTGAATTTCCCGGCCCCTGCTAAAAGTCTGACTGAAAGGAGACTAACCTGGAACTGGATTGTTAATTTTGTGATTGCAGAAGACAGAACACCCTTGCTCTGCCACTGCGCCACGGCTCTGCCCCCTGCACCGTCCCTTCCCCAAGATCCCACCCCCACTCACTCCAACCTCCCCCCTCCAATGCTTGCTCCCTCTGGATTCATCTGCTCATTTTCATGAGGCTGTGGCAGGAGTTGTGGGGTGGCACAAGGGAGCTCAGGGCTGGAGTGCAGAGGGTGTTGTGACCTGGGCCAAAGGGTTAGCATGTGGGAGGAGGTGCAGGGTGCAGAATCTTGGTGGCATTTACCTCCGTAAGCGGGATGTTCCTGTAGCTCCAACGCGCAGTGGGCAGCCAGGAGGGCTCTGTGTGCCGCCCCTGTCTTCATCTACCACCCCTGTAGCCCTGCTGGCCTCCAGCTACCTTGGGCCTAACGGCCGCAGGGACATGTCGCTTCTGGGAGCCACGTGAAGCCAGGGGAGACAGGGAGCCTGGGCACTTTTATCAGCTCTCCACCAGAGCTAGGAGGCAAAAGGTAAGCCAAGAGCCTCACAGTTTGTTGTCTTGCTCTGCACAAGGGCCTGGGCATATTGACTGTTTCCTGGGCCTGAGCATCGGCCTGAGCCCCTGAACTGTTTGCTGCCCTGCCTAGACCAGGGCCTGGGGTCATTGTCTGTGTTTATGGGGTGGGGTGGCCAGATGGCCTTACTCACGATCTATTAAAGAACTGGAAACAAAGGTTAGGTATAAATGGTCAGTTTTCAGAATGGAGAGAGGTAACTAGAGGTGTCCCCCAACAAAGTGAATAAAGAAAAGTTATTTACTTGTTCCCATAACATAAGAACATGGGGTCACTAAATAAAATTAATAGGTAGCAGATTTAAAACAAGCAAAAGGAAAATTGTCTTCACGCACTGCACAGTCAGCCTGGGGAACTCCTTGCCAGAGGATGTTGTGAAGATTAGGACTTTAACAGGATTTAAAAAAGAACTGCATGAATTAATGGATGTTACCGCCATCAAAACCTATCCACCAAAATGGGTAGGAATGGTGTCCCTCATCTCTGTTTGCCAGAAGCTAGGAATGGGCGAGAGGGGAGGGATCACTTGATTTTTATCTGTTCTGTTCCCCCCTCTGGGGCACCTGGCATTGGGCACTGTCGGCAGACAGGACACTGGGCTAGTTGGACCGTTAGTCTGATGCAGTCTGTCCATTCTTTGGTATTATGTTCACATTTCAAAGAGGTCATTTTAACATGTGGCCGGTGTCACTGCTTATCCCCATTTCTGTAGTAACAGCACCACGTGCTAGCTCCACATCCTACCTCCCAGCCATAGGACGCATTCAGAGGAGGGATGGCTTGTGTTTGTGTGGAGAGGACACATGAAGAAGCCCAAATAGGAGGTGTTTGCTGCTCACCTGTCAGCCTGCTACTCACAGTCTCCTCATTCCCACTCTCCACAGTGTGGGTCAAACTCTGCTCTCACTGAAACCTTAAATAACTCTCCTGTCCCTCGTCTGCCTAGAATCCTCCTGCACAGCCTAGGACATGATCCACCTTCCCAGAGTCATGTGAGTGCTCAGTTCAGCTTGAGTCTAATCACAGGGCTCACGGTGATGGGCTGGAGTCACAGATGTAGCCTTTCACATTTCAGCTAAAGCCGCCTTCTCTTAGGATTTTCTAACTCCTGCAGTATGAGGGGTAACATGAGAGCCACTTGGAAACCACATTCCATTTTCTAGAGGAACAGTCTCTTCCCCTTGCATGGATGGGACAATTTGGTCAGTACTTACAAGCGAAGCGGACAGGGGACTGCAGACAGGGGAGTTGAAGAGGGAGAGCAAAGCGACCCCACCAGGCTGGGGGAGACAACCGTTGTGAAAGGTGCCTGCTGGTGGAATCTCTCAGGCAGCAGGTGGGAGAGCTACAGGAGGAGGTGGCCAGGCTGAGGAGCATTCGAAGCCATGAGGAATTCCTGGACAGTATTCCTGTGGAGTCCACGGAGGTCACTGTCCTAGGATGTGGGACTGTTGACCAGCCACTTATGGAGGAGGCAGTGGTGCAGGGTGAGCACTGGCAGCTGGTTACTTCCGGCAGCAGGCAGTGTTCCACCCCTGCTCCTAACCCTCCCACTGTGTTGTTACATAACCGTTACTCTTTACTTTCAGCAGGAGACAAGGAGTCACCCCCCACAGTGGAGGAGACCAGGCCTTGCACCACCAAGGTTGAGCAGTCTCCTGCCACCACTGCGAGGAAGAAACGTAGGGTAGTGGTGGTTGGAGACTCTCTTCTGAGGGGAACGGAGGCACCCATCTGTCGCCCTGACAGCTCATCTCGAGAGGTATGCTGTCTGCCAGGGGCCCGTATCCGAGATGTTACGGAGGCATTGTCGAGGATTATCCGGCCCTCTGACTACTACCCCATGCTACTCATCCACGTGGGCACAAATGATACTGCCAGGTGTGACACTGAGCGGATCAAGTGTGACTACAGGGCTTTGGGAGTACGGGTGAAGGAGTTTGGAGCGCAGGTGGTATTCTCTTCTATCCTTCCTGTCAAAGGTAGGGGCCCGGGCAGAGAGAGGTGCATCCTGGAGGTGAATGCCTGGCTGCGACGATGGTGTCGCCAGGAGGGATTCGGCTTCCTTGATCACGGGGTGCTCTTCCAGGAAGGACTGCTTGGCGGAGATGGAGTTCACCTTTCCAGGAGCGGGAAGGCCTTGTTTGGACACAGACTGGCTAACCTTGTGAGGAGGGCTTTAAACTAGGTTTGTCGGGGGCAGGTGAGCAAAGCCCACAGGTAAGTGCTGAATGTGCGGGACTGGGAGATGGGTTGGAAATGGGGGGGACTACGGCCTATAATGGCAAGGAGAAAGGAGGGTCAGGGCACAACAGGGAGGCAAGATCAAATCAGTATCTTAGATGCCTATATACAAATGCGAGAAGTATGGGTAATAAGCAGGAAGAACTGGAATTGCTAACCAATAAATACAACTATGATATCATTGGTATTACAGAAACCTGGTGGGATGGGACGCATGATTGGAATATTGGTATGGAAGGGTACGGCTTGCTCAGGAAGGACAGACAGGGAAAAAAGGGAGGAGGGGTTGCCTTGTATATTAAAAATGTACACACTTGGACTGAAGTGGAGATGAACGTAGGAGATAGCTGTGTAGAGAGTCTCTGGGTTAAGCTAAAAGGGGTAAAAAACGAGGGTGATATCATGCTAGGAGTCTACTACAGGCCACCTAGCCAGGTGGAAGAGGTGGATGAGGCCTTTTTTAAACAATTAGGCTGAGTTTGGAAGCAGAGAGAGCAGGGGACACTGCCCCCCTAGTCTTTTAAAAGAAGAATGAACAGTTCTTCCCTGTTCATGTTTTTGTTTCTTCAACAGGGAAGAGTGGGCAGGTCTAAGACAAACATGCTGAGCACATTCTGTCAGGAAGGACAGACAGGGAAAAAAGGGAGGAGGGGTTGCCTTGTATATTAAAAATGTACACACTTGGACTGAAGTGGAGATGAACGTAGGAGATAGCTGTGTAGAGAGTCTCTGGGTTAAGCTAAAAGGGGTAAAAAACGAGGGTGATATCATGCTAGGAGTCTACTACAGGCCACCTAGCCAGGTGGAAGAGGTGGATGAGGCCTTTTTTAAACAATTAACAAAACTATCCAAAGCCCAAGATTTGGTGGTGATGGGGGACTTCAACTATCCAGACATATGTTGGGAAACTAACACAGCGAGGCACAGGCTATCCAATAAGTTTCTGGACTGCATTGGAGACAACTTTCTGTTTCAGAAGGTTGAAAAAGCTACCAGAGGAGAAGCTGTTCTGGATTTGGTTTTAACAAATAGGGAGGAACTAGTTGAGAACTTGAAAGTGGAAGACAGTATAGGGGACAGTGATCATGAAATAATAGAGTTCATGATCTTAAGGAAAGGTAGAAGGGAGACCAGCACAATTGAGGTTATGGATTTCAGGAAGGCAGATTTTGATAAGCTCAGAGAACTTGTAGGTAAGGTCCCATGGGAAGCAAGACTGAAGGGAAAAACAACTGAGGAGAGTTGGAAGTATTTCAAAGGGACGTTGTTAAGGGCCCAAAAGCAAACAATTCCGCTGTGTAGGAAAGATAGAAAATATGGCAAAAGACCAGCTTGGCTTAACAAGGAGATCTTGCATGATCTCAAAATAAAAAAGGAGTCATATAAAAAATGGAAACTAGGACAACTAACAAAGGATGAATATAGGCAAGCAACACGGGAATGCAGGGGCAAGATTAGAAAGGCAAAGGCACAAAATGAGATCAAACTAGCTACAGGCATAAAGGGAAACAAGAAGACCTTTTATAAATACATTAAAAGCAAGAGGAAGACCAAGGACAGGGTAGGCCCACTGCTTAGTGAGGAGGGAGAAGCAGTAACAGGGAACTTGGAAATGGCGGAGATGCTCAATGACTTCTTTGTTTCGGTCTTCACCGAGAAGTCTGGAGGTGTGCCTAACGTAGTGAATACAAGCAGAGAGAGGGTAAGTTTAGAAGATAGGATACACAAAGAACAAGTTAAAAATCACTTAGGAAAGTTAGATGTCAGCAAGTCACCAGGTCCTGATGAAATGCATCCCAGGATACTCAAGGAGCTGATAGAGGAGGTATCTGAGCCTTTAGCTATGATCTTTGAAAAATCATGGCAGACAGGGGAGATTCCAGAAGACTGGAAAAGGGCAAATATTGTGCCCATCTATAAAAAGGGGAATAAGAACAACCCAGGAAATTATAGACCGGTCAGTTTAACGTCTGTCCCAGGGAAGATAATGGAGCAGGTAATTAAGGAAATCATATGCAAACACTTGGAAGGTAATAAAGTGATAGGGAATAGCCAGCATGGGTTTGTGAAGAACAAGTCATGCCAAACTAATCTGATAGCTTTCTTTGATAGGATAACGAGCCTTGTGGATAAGGGAGAAGCGGTGGATGTCATATACCTAGACTTTAGTAAGGCATTTGATACGGTCTCGCATGATATTCTTATTGATAAACTAGGCAAATATAACTTAGATAGGGCCACGATAAGGTGGGTGCATAATTGGCTGGATAACCGTAGTCAGAGAGTTGTTGTTAACGGTTCTAAATCCTGCTGGAAAGGGATAACAAGTGGAGTTCCTCAAGGGTCTGTTTTGGGACCCGTACTGTTCAATATCTTCATCAATGATGTAGATATTGGGATAGAGAGTACTCTTATTAAGTTTGCAGATGATACCAAACTGGGTGGGGTTGCGACTTCTTTGGAGGATAGGGACATAATTCAAAATGACCTTAGCAAGTTAGAGAAATGGTCAGAGGTAAACAGGATGAGGTTTAATAGAGAGAAATGCAAAGTGCTCCACTTAGGAAGGAACAATCAGTTCCATACATACAAGATGGGAAGCGACTGTCTAGGAAGGAGCATGGCGGAAAGGGATCTAGGGGTCATAGTGGACCACAAGTTGAATATGAGTCAACAGTGTGATGCTGTTGCAAAAAAAGCAAATATGATTCTAGGTTGTATTAACAGGTGTGTTGTAAGCAAAACTCGTGAAGTCATTCTGCCGCTCTACTCTGCGCTAGTTAGGCCTCAGCTGGAGTACTGTGTCCAGTTCTGGGCGCCACATTTCAAGAAAGATGTGGAGAAATTGGAAAGGGTACAGAGAAGAGCGACAAGAATGATTAAAGGTCTAGAGAACATGACCTATGAAGCCAGGCTTCATGAACTGGGCTTGTTTAGTTTGGAAAAAAGAAGATTAAGGGGGGACATGATAGTGGTTTTCAAATATCTAAAAGGGTGTCACAAGGAGGAAGGAGAAAATTTGTTCCTCTTGGTTTCTGAGGACAGGACATGGAGTAATGGGCTTAAAGTGCAGCAGGGGAGGTTTAGATTGGACATTAGGAAAACATTCCTAACTGTCAGGGTGGTCAAATATTGGAATAAATTGCCAAGGGAGGTGGTGGAATCTCCCTCTCTGGAGATATTTAAGAACAGGTTAGATAGACATCTGTCAGGGATGGTGTAGACGGAGCTTGATCCTGCCTTGAGGGCGGGGGGCTGGACTCGATGACCTCTCGAGGTCCCTTCCAGTCCTATTATTCTATGATTCTATGATTCTACCACAGCTTCCATACAGGCCTGTATTGACCTGTTCCCAGATAGATTCAGCGATAGACAGAAACAGCAGATACAAACCAACAAAATATAAGGCTATAGCAGCAACAGATATAATGCAACACACCACAACGAGGTGCTGTCCAGTTAGAATCTTCAAACACTTCCCCATGCAAATGGCAACTTTGGGGTAGGATGATTTGTTTTTCTAAAATCAGTGTCCATTAAAAAGTCGTCTGCCAATCTACATAACCAAAGGTCATTCCACTTAGATCCACCCAGCTCCAGGCTGAGGATCAGCTGATGAGAACAAACCAAAATTTTCCAGCCGTGTGTTTTCCTACTAAGTTAAAGGCAAAAAGTTACATTTGCCAGATCCATTTTTGCTGTGCTTTGCTGTCTCCACCAGGTGGAACCAAACGGCTTCTCAAGCGCAGGTCGAACTTCTCAAACAAAGGACAAAGTCCGACTCAGGCAGGCAACAAGCGTTTCGTCCGAGTCAGTCAAAAGGAGAAATGTAAAAGGTTCAGCTTCCCGAGATCGTATTATCGGTTACAGTCGATTCCCACAATCCCTCCCTTTACCGTCCCCTGCCCCCACATTTGCACCCCCAAACCTCCCACAGGATTTCTGTTGTGTGCGCTGGCCAGGCCCAAGCTGGTTGGCTCTGGAATATTTCCGGACTTTTGGAGATCCACTTACCCAGAGCATGGTCCTGGGAACAGACCGAGTGTGTCTGCCTCTGTGCCCCACAGGGCTTGGAGTCTCCAACCTCTACAGCTCAGCGAGGCCTCCGACTCCCGACCATTGCCAGCTAGCAGCTACCGCACGTAGTGAGCCCGATGCCACTGCCCTGTCCTCGGGGCTCTGCCCCATGGATCCATCGCCCCCTTCTCCTGGGAGCCTCCTGGGCACTCCAGTAGGACACAATTCCACAGTTCTGGTCCAGATCAGGGTCCAAATCCAAGCCCCACGGCCCAGCACCAGACGAACAGCAGCTCTGACCGTCCCAGCCAGACACCACTGAAAGTGAAAGTGAAAAATGCAACAGGAACTTCCCAGCGAGGCGGGTCTCGGGTTGAATTTTTAAACGCAAAGATCATTAAAATAAACCCGCAGTGCAGCGGGCAGCAGACAGGGTTAGCCCTGCAGGCTCACACCGAGGGGAACACGGCTTGTGCTGCCCTGGGCTTCATTAGGATTTTTAATCCAGGTAATTGTCTCCATAAAAAAACACACCTGCTGCTTGTCCCCAGCAAAGCCCCAGCCGTGTGGAGTTAAGAGCCCCTCAGCCTGTTTTTCTTGGGCCCCGGCTGGCGATGTGAATGCTACAGGCAAGTCCGGCTCAGAGATTCCTGTGGCTCCAGCTCTGTGGGTCAGGGGGTGGTGGGATATCCCCACCATAGCTCCACCTCCCCTTGCCTCAGACACATCAGATGTAAGGGGCACTTCTCTTGTGAATCACCGTAGGTGGGGGGTGGCCTGGACAGGATCATGACACAGCCTCTCCTGGACCAGTGGCCTGAACAGAAAGCTGCAGGCTGGGACTTTCTTTCCAGACTGGAAAATCTCCACATAAGACCACACCTGTTTCTCCCCAGCAAAGCCCCAGCCGTGTGGAGTTAGAGCCCCTCAGCCTGTTTTTCTTGGGTCCAGGCTGGTGATGTGAATGCTACAGGCAAGTCCGGCTCAGAGATTCCTGTGGCCCCGGCTCTGTGGCTCAGGGGGTGGTGGGAGCTCTGAGGAGCAAAGCCCCAGGACAGATGGAGCTATGGAGGCAGAGCAGCATTTTGCCAGGACAGCTTGTTTCTCTGGGACATGGGGGGCAGGTTGGGCGGAATAAGCCCCACAGGTAGAAGCGCCTTGTCCCGCGGGAAGGTGTCTCCAAGAGAAGTGCTGTGGCCATGTATCCACAGCGTGAAAGCTCTCCCGGCTAACGCCTACATCAACATGGCAAACCCCAGATAACTATCTATACAAAACACACCTGATTCCCTCTAGCAAAGCCACCACCGTGTCATGTGATAGCCCCTCTCAGCGTATGTGTCTTGTGCCCCGGCTGGTGATGTGAACGCTACAGACAAGTCAGGCTCAGGCTACATTTACTGCAGGAGTTCTGGGGTGGTGTTGCTGTCCTGGAACCTGCCAGGGATGCTGGAGCCACCTGCCCTCCTCCCTCTCCAGTGTTCCAGACCCATTACGCTGGAGCCACCTGGCCTCTGCCCTCCCCATGCTCTGGGGCTGAGGAGGCTGGAGCCACATGTCCTCCCTCCTCCCCATGCTCACGGCCAGGGAGGCTGGGGATGTGTGGCTGTGTGCCTCCCAGTTTCTCCCTGTGGCATTAGGGGGCTGCCCCACCTCCCCATGGTGGGGGGCAGTAGGGCGTCTTGGCTCCCATAGGGTATGGGGCCCCAGCAGAAGCGGTAGGGCTGAGACTGGGGGTTTGCCTCCCTAAGCCCTACCTTCACCAACAGCCTGTGCATGCATCCCAGTGCCTTGTGTCACCTTCACTTGCTGAGCCCTGTGAGCAGGTGCCACGTAGCCCTAGGCATGTTGTGAACGTGAAAACCATCCCATTAGTCCCCCCTTTCTTCCCAGATGGCCCTGGCCTCCGGGCTCACTTTCTCGCCAACTTGAGCATGCGTGGCAAGAAGACCTGGATCCTAGCCTTCTGGCCCGTGTTGTGAGCTGTGCGGGAGACACTCCACATTGCTGCGCACCTCCTGATGGGCCTGCTAGCGGAGAACGATGACTTGTCAGATTCGGAAAGAAAAGGTCACAGGTATCAATTATTTACACTGGAATTATTCATAAAACAGTGATTTTTATTAAGTATAAAAAGTTGGGGATTTCAGGGATTGTAAGATACAGCAGACAGAACAAAGTAGGGTACTAAGCAAAATAAAGCACATGAACTAGGCTTACTACACTACATGTAATATCTCACCCTACAAGTTATTCTAATAATCGTCACAAACCCAACATCCTTCTAACAGGGGCCGAGTCCCTTCCTCCTTTGAGTGCGGTCCTGCTACGGCCAAAGGTATCCTCACCGTCATTCCCCGAGCCGCCTGGTTGGAGAGAGGGATGCTGAATCTTTCTCCCTTGCTCAGTCCTGCTACAACCGAGAGTGTGTACACCTTGGACAAATGTACTCCCCCCCCCACCAAAGTGGGAGCAAAGAAACCTAATTCTTCTCTCTCTTTCCTGGTAGTTCTATAACTGGGGGTGTGCATACCTGCATAATCAACTAATTTATACATAGTTACATATTATCACAACCACTTTTAGCAACTTTTACCAATAGCCACAGTGCATACCGTTCCTTTTTCACGTCTCCACCCAAAATGTCATGCTTACAAAGGAGGAAAGGCAATACGCTGTGTTTATTGAAAATACAACATGAAAAGCACTAAATGCATCACACACACATGGGTGCTATGGATGATCTTATAGTGACCAGTCTGTCATGGCTCAAGTCAGAGTATTCCACAGCTATCCATTGATGGTTATTGTTAGGCTTCCCATTGTTATCAGATTGTTGTCTTACTCTTGGGGATGTCTGCCTTCTTCCTGGTTGTCTTCAAGGTTCTCACTTCTTCTGGGCATTTGTGGTGGCTTTCACAATTATCCTTAACTAAGCTCACATCCTGACCAAACAATTTACAGGGAATTTCTTGTTAAATAATTTTAGAAAGGATTATATAATTACTAAAAAAAATAATTAAAAGATCTTATACAACTTAATCTGCATTGCATCATAGAGGCACAACTTAATTTGTAATGATAACAAGAAGCAAGATCTTATAGTAAACGTCGTCTAATCACCCTGGCTATGTCTAGACTGCAAGCCTCTTTCAAAAGAGAGCGTCTAGACTGCACACGGAATTTCGAAAAAGTAAGCCGCTTTTTCGAAAGAAAGCACCCAGTGAGTCTGGATGCTCTCTTTCTAAAAAGCCTGTTTGCTTTCAAGAACGCCTTCTTTCGAAAGAGCACTTTCGAAAGAAGGCCTTCTTCCTCGTGGAATTAGGTTTACCACCGTCGAAAGAAAAGCCACATTCTTTCGATTTAATTTCGAAAGAACGCAGCTGCAGTCTAGACGCAGGTGAAGTTTTTTCGAAAAAAAGGCTACTTTTTTCGAAAAAACCCCTGAGTCTGGACACAGCCCCTATCTGGCAGGATGAAACAGAAGCAAACAGAATTTACAAAATTAATCCTTATACAGGACTTATTGCCATCATTATACTTATATTCTTAGACCAACAATAAAATACTGCATTTTGGTTAACTAGGCTTTTCCAAACATGAACATACAGTAGATTTGATTAGTCACTATTCCTGACTTCAGATCTAGAAATGATCCATGCATACAAATAGGATAATTATATTCATGATTTCATAACTATTCCATGATATATCAAATGAAGTACAGTATATCGCACAAAGCATGTTTCAGTTAGCTATATTCATAAGCCTATTTCCTGAGGGAATGTCTAAACTAGCCCCCTAATTCAAACTAGGGAGGCTAATGAGGGTGACTGAAGTTGCTAATGAAGCACAGGATTTAAATATCCCGTGCTTGATTAGCATAATCCCGGACGGACGCCATTTTGGAAACTGACTAGCCCGAAGTAACTGCCCGCGTCTACATGTGGCAGAGAAGCGGGATTCCGAGATAAACCCCTTAGTTCGAATTAACTGTTACTCCTCATGGAATGTTGTTTAACAGTTAATTCAAACTAAGGGGTTTATATCATAATCCCGCTTCTCTGCCACGTGTAGATGCGGGCAGTTACTTCGGGCTAGTCAGTTTCCAAAAATGATGACTGGTCGGGATTATGCTAATCAAGCGCGGGATATTTAAATCCCGCGCTTCATTAGCAACTTCGGTTGCCCTCAGCCTCCCTAGTTTGAACTAGGGGGCTAGCGTAGACATACCCATACAGAATATGGAACACCCCTTCGTGGCCACCCTGGTTTAACAGAGATCATCAACCATCTGACACTGACAAGAGTACTACAAAAAGTGGAAACTAAGTCACATTAGAGAGGATGAATACAAACAAATAACACAAGTCTTTAGGGATAAAATTAGAAAAGCCAAAGCACACAATGAGACAAAAGTAGCTAGAGACATCAATGGTAACAAGAAAACATTCTTCAAATACATTAGAAGCATAACATTAGACTTCAGCTGGAGTACTGAGTTCAGTTTTTGCCACCACATTTCAGGAAAGATGTGGACAAGCTGGAGAAAGTACAGAGAAGAGCAACAATAATGATTAAAGGTCTAGAAAAACATGATTTGACAGATTTTTATTTGGTCTGGGGAAGAGAAGACCCAGAGGGGACATGACAACAGTTTCAGTACATAAAAGTTTTTTACAAGAAGTGAGGAAAAATTATTCTTCTTAACCTCCAATGATAGAACAAGAAGCAATGGAGTTAAATTGCATCAAGGGCTGTTTAGGTTTCGTATAAGGTGGGTGCACACTTACAATAAATTGCCCAGGGAGATTGTGGAATCTCCTTCACTGGAGATTTTTAAGAGCAGATTAGACAAACATCTGTCAGGGATGCTCTAGATAATATTTAGGGCAGGAGATTGGACTAGATGACTCTCAAGGCCCCTTCCAGTCTAGGATTCAGTGAGTGAAATTGCCGCTCAGAAGGTCAGTGAATAGCAGTGATACTTAGCTCCTTTCTCTCCCCTGAGGCGCTTACACTGTGTCATAGCTCTTAACCAAACCACTCCTTCTGCTTGTAATGTCTCTCATCCAATCACTGAATGGCTTAAAAAGCTGACAAAAAAGGTGCTAGGCAGGAAATGTGACTCCATTATCTTCTTCTGTCAGATGCATCACAAGTCGATACATTTATCGTCTCATTTCAGAAAAGATATACTGGCACTAGAAAAGGTTCAGAGAAGGGCAACTAAAATGATTAGGGGTTTGGAACGGATCCCATATGAGGAGAGATTCAAGAGACTGGGACTTTTCAGCTTGGAAAGGAGGAGACTAAGGGGGGATATGATAGAGGTCTATAAAATCATGAGTGGTGTGGAGAAAGTGAATAAGGAAAAGTTATTTACTTGTTCCCATAATATAAGAACTAGGGTCCACCAAATGAAACTAATGGGCAGCAGGTTTAAAACAAATAAAAGAAAAATTGTCTTCACGCACTGCACAGTCAGCCTGTGGTCAATCTGTGGAACTCCTTGCCTGAGGAGGCTGTGAAGGCTAGGACTATAACAGGGTTTAAAAGAGAACTAGATAAATTCATGGAGGTTAAGTCCATAAACGGCTATTAGGCAGCATGGGTAAGGAATGGTGTCCCTAGCCTCTGTTTGTCAGAGGGTGGAGATGGATGGCATGAGAGAGATTGCCTGTTCGATTCGCTCCCTCTGGGACACCTGGCATTGGCCACTCTCGGCAGACAGGATACTGGGCTGGATGGACCTTTAGTCTGACCCATTATGGCCATTCTTATGTTCTTATTATCCAGCCATCTGACTGCTGCTTTGTCAAGGGCAGCAAGATGGTGCATTCACCCTCCAATCCCTACTACGCAAAGGTTTTGCTTTATTTCCAACCCTTCTTCTCACCTGGGATTTTATATTAGCCACTAAGAAGGTTCAAAGCCAATCTGATAAACAAGGGACATTAAAAGTAAAGGGTTAATGTAGGGTGAGATATTAACAGCTAATATTTACTGCGCTACAACACTTTATTCTATAGTCTACTGTCTAGTTATAAAACTAATGCTGTGTATTATATCATTTTGATGATGTGTTTTGTGTTCTCCTGGTTCAATATGGACCAAAGAGCAAAGGGTCCAGGAGAAATTCCTGGATACCAGGAAGTTTTTGTGTCTGGAGAGCCAGCATGATGCCTGAGAAGAAACTTGCAAACATTTTAATGAATAGATGGTTTCATCTGTTGTACTGTCCGTGTCTCAGTGTCATCTGGTCAGGGTTCTCAGGGTTGTCCCAGTGCACTCCTGACCGAACCTCTACTCTATCGGTGATGATAAACTTTCGGCTGCATGCGTCAATGTCAGCACACCCTTTATCTAGAGTGTTAGACCCAGTGTACTTGGGTCAACACAGGAGATCTCTGAGAGCCCTCGGAAACGACAGATGCTGGCAAGGGTAAAATCATGGAGCAGATTTATTATCAAATGCGATGCATTAACAGTTGTTAGCAGAAATTCTCAAACCTAAACCACTGTGCATTTGGCACGTTGACAATGTACTAACACATAGCAGGCCTATTGCCAAATAACAGATATTAACAGCGGCTAGCCAGCGTTCAGCCACTGTGCATTCTGTAAGTGTCGGCAATGACACCTGTCGTTTCAGATGCCTAGTGCATCCCTCTGGCCCAAGGTCGGTCAGTGTTCGCTCTTTGTGGTGCCCTTTTATAGATATGTACAAACTTCTTACATCACTTCTTTATGCACAAGGTTGCCACTCTCTGTTGCCTAGTTACCACCCCTCACCTTACGGAAGGGGGGCTTACTTACTATCCTTCATGCTGTCAATTTCAGCCCAGTCCTGATCCTAGGTCAGTATGTACATTAGTATTTGGGGATTCTTTATACCAAGACATGTCTTATTAAGATGTTCCACTACTCCCCTTAGGCTTACAGTCTGTACCCGGTGCCTCCCTATATCCTTCCATGTTCGATCTAACTTACACAATCACACAATTATCAATAGGGCCTCTTTCGTGGCTGCCGTGTTACTGAACCAAAGTCTTGCTCACCAGGTAACCGGCCAGTTGCTGTTTTCATGTTACAGGCCTCAATAGAGGCCTGCTGAATCCATGTTACAGACCCGCAATTTACTATATCATCAAGTCAGGGCTGACCTGAGCCATTCATGCGCCCCGGGCCCCAGGAGTGTGGCGGCCCCACCCCAGGTGCCAGGCCCATGCGCAGTCCTACCCCCGGGGAACCGGCGCATGCACAGCCCCGCGCCCATCCGGTCCAGCAGCCCCCACGTGGAGTCCCCTACACTGCAGTGTCCTGGGCAGTAGCCCGGTCAGCCTGTAGCTTGGGCCAGCTCTGCATCCAGTAACTAAACAGAAATATCCACGAGCCCACAGTCTGCAGACATTACCCACAGCAGTGTCTGTGTGAGGAAGGCATCAGAGTAACAGGAGGTAGCCATGGAGACTAAGGTGACGATGAGGTTCACTAGAATCCAGTGAAGAGGGATTTTCAGAGGCCTCCAGCCATTACACTCGGGGCAATTCTCTGTCATTGATCACTCAGGTTTCTAGAGTAGCCCTGATGCTGCAGAAGAGACCAGGGCTGGTGCCCATTTCCCGTAGCTCTCTAGTCAGGACTCCTCTCTCTGGTTCCCCTCTCCCACTGGCAGGGCTGACGAATGGCTTTGCTTGCTCTCTTCCCCCACTTGGAACAGTGCGTCGGCTCTTGTCTTTGCTTGTTCAGATGCTTCCAGGAGAGGATTTTGCATTTTCTGTAACAGTTTCCTGAACAGGAAGTGTACCAGCTCTATTGTCTTTCAAAGGCTCAGCCTGTTTTTGCTCGTCCTTTAAAACATGACAAAGTAAAACAAAGACATTATGAACTTTCAGTTATTGTCAATGAAACAGCTGGTACATTTACCTATCACCTGCTGGAGTTCTGTCCTACAGTATGTTGTTCAATTCATTACAATGGATTATACTTTTTACTGTAGTTCCCCACTTAGGACAAAAGTGTAAGTTACACTGTCAGACAGTGTTCCCTGTAAGTGTCCCACTTGTGAAGTCACTCAGATGAGAGTGAAATGCTGCCCAGCTGATTAACAGAGCACCCATGGCTAGGTTTTCTTTCTACTTGTGGTGCACATTGGCACATGCCTCCATGCACATCAAAATTAATTCCGCACATGGATTGAACAGAGAGGAGGGAATGTTGCTCTCAGGCATAATTTTTTCCTATCCAATACTTGCAGAACAGATCTTAGACTTTGTAACTGGCTTTCAGGTCATCTTAAAGTACCTGATATAAAACAGCCGCTGGGCTAGAGATGCCCATTTCCAAACCAAATACGCTGAAAGGCAGACAAGGGAAGAAAGGTCGTATTTTTTCTTGAGCCAACTACTGGGGATGGAAGAGACAAGCTTTTGAACTTCCCAGAGCTCCCTTTCAGAACTGGGAAAAGTAACCCGCGTGTAACAGAAATACAAGGTGGGCCAGATTGTTCAGCGTAGGAGGTTAACAGGTGTTGCAAGAAACCATTTAAACAAAGTGGGCAATGACCACCCTTGTGAGCCACAGGACAATGCAGGGTTAGTCAGTTACACATCGTTGTGATGACCAGTGTAACCAGTATCCCTGCTGTCTCCATGGTTTTTACTCTCTAGCAGAGTGATGCATTATGGGCAAGACTGCACTGGTGGGTTGAGCTGCTGTAGCGCTCTAGTGAAGACCCTACAACCCCTCCAGAAGAGCTCCTGTCGGGTCATTAATCACCCCGAGAGAACCAGGTGCTGCGTCAATGGGAGCAGCTCTCCCGTCGCCATAGCGCTGTCTGCACACGGGTTTGGTCGGTAGAACTACATCAATCTGCGGAGGAGGCGGGGGGGATTTTTCCCTCCTCAGCGAGGTGACTGTATGGGTGTAAGTTTGTAGTGCAGCCCTTGCCTAAGCTCCAGGTTCGTCCGATGTCGTTTGAGGGCGAGGAATGAAAAGCCAGGGACGGAGTGACTGCTTTGTGACCAGCGGTCACTCATGTGGGTCACAGGGTGTTTTGGTCTTTGATCATTTTCTAGTGCAAGTCCATTCCAGAGTGCCAGGACTGTCAGGTATCGCCCACATGGTTGTGGATGAGACACACCAAAATCTGCCCCAGCTTGTATTTAGCTATGATGCTCCAGTTCCCTTTTCCAGACCTGTAGACAAGCTCTGTGAGGATCAAAACCGTGTCTCTTACCCACAGAAGCTGGTCCAGTAAGAGATATTAGCTTCCCGGTAACAGGGAAATAGCAGTTTGGGAAACAGGCTCCGGGTTGCATGCCTGAGAGATTAAAGGGCCAAAAGAAAAGGAAAAAATCCATTTTAATTTACAGATTTTAAAGATTATTTTGCTTTCAATTGTGCTCTCAATAAAACTGGAATTAAGACGCAGTCAAGCCATTCCTTGCTAAGGTTTATTACATTGTTTGGATTATGGCTGTCCACTTAGTGGGGTCCTTTACCCTGGGGCATGCTAAATGCTGAACTTTGCATTTCTATGATACCTTCCACTCAGGAATCACACAGCACTTTACAAACAGCCTGGAGCAATCAGGGTCTATGCACAGCCCAGGTCATTGGTTCTGCCATTTTCAGGGCCTTGCACAGCCACAGAATGTGCATGTGTCAGTGCAGGGGAGGTGGGGGAAGGGGCTCGTTCCTACTGAGTCACGTCTTCGGGAATGTCCCAAGATAAGCACTGTCCCATTTCACAGATGAAGAAAGTAAGGTGCATTGGCCCAGATCCACTCAGAGACCGAAATAGGGAAGTAGTGGAGTCTCCATCCCTAGAGATTTTTAAGTCTCGGCTTGACAAAGCCCTGGCTGGGTTAATTTAGTTGGGATTGGTCCTGCCTAGAGCAGGGGGCTGGACTTGATGACCTTCTGAAGTCTCTTCCAGCTCTATGGTTCTATGATTTAGGCTCCGGGCTCCCACGGACACAAGGAGCCAAAATATTTTTCAGATCTAAGAGGATCGGGATCATAGTGATGAAGTGATTTAGAACCCAGGTCTCAATTTATAACACATACACACTCCCCACCCCCCACCCCATTAAGCAGGCCCCTGCTCCTCTTGCTTTATCCCAGTAAATAAAAGAACAGACAACTCACCTCTGTCCCCTGTTTACCTGCAAAGAAAAAGAAACCAGCTCGTCAGAAAACTCCGGTGCACTTTAATACATAAATGTATCAGTTCACTGTCCCAGTGCCATGTCCTGCCCTTAGACGCAGGCCCAGCTGCTCTCTCCGACTCAGGGGTGGCCATGTGTGCGCCTGCACAGAACGGGGTCCCCCCGCACTGTAACCGCTCGCTGCGCTGCACTTAGCAGCAACTTGAGGAAACCCCGCAGGGAGAGGAAGGGGGCTGGTGACGTTGCTAATCCAATGGGATTTGGGGCTCTAACAATCCTTTGCATTTACATAGCGCCTCACCTCTAGGAAACGCAAAACGATTTGCAGACACCGCAGCGGAACTGAGTGACTGGCCAGAATTCACGCTCTGGCCGCCTCTAGGAAACGCAAAACGATTTGCAGACACCGCAGGGGAACTGAGTGACTGGCCAAAATTCACACTCTGGCCATGGCAGGGCTGAGGACACAATCCAGGAGCCCTGGGTCCCAGTCCCAGCTATGCGCAGCAAAGAACATTCCCGCCTAGACCTGAGCACGGTGCCCTTCTCCTGGGAGACAAAGGCCAGGGCCTAGCGGAGGCACTTAGCTCTGAAGGAGGAACAGGTTCTGAACAGGACGCAAACTCCTGCTCCATGAACATCACTGCTCCCCCGGCAAATGGAACAGGGAACTTTGGGAGCAGATCCCCCAGGCAATGGGGCAGATCAGGGGAAGGGGAGAACTGGTCCAGGCTGCTGGGAGGATGTGAACAGCTGGTACTTTTAGCCAATGCAGAAGCTGGCCTGGGGCAAGGGCCAGTGTAAGGCACAAGCTGGGAAGAGAGAGGATCTTCCCCAGATAGACAGGGTCCATGGCCACAGTAGCTGGTGCTAAAGCACAGCATCCTCGCCTGGGATCAGCCAGGTCACCCTATAAAATAGGCCCCATTGAGGGTTAGTGGCTCCTACTGGCAACTCTTCCCAGAAGGGAGATCTGGACTACACTGGGCATCCTCAGTGACAAGAGGCTGTCAGGTAACAGGCTGGCATGTGGCAGGGTGAAACAAAGACCATTGTGCCAAATGCAGACTCTGTCAGTCTGACACCTCGCCCCTCCCCCCGCCATACACCCATTTACGATTTTCACAGGCCCCTCGCTTTTCTGACTTACATGTTACATTATATTTCCTCTTCACTTTCGGCCATAAAAAGTAGCCTCCAGCCCCTGAAGCCGCAAGTAAGACTAGAAGGATAATTATCACAGCTATCACAGCGCCGGACAGGCTGCTTTGCTGACAAACGGCATCAGAAATACGTGTCCCGGCCTTCGCTTCTGTCATCCTTTGCTCTTCGCACCTAGGATGAAGGGCGACATGTTACTGTACACGTCAGTGTGTCCACAGCCATCTGGGTTCACCCGTCGGTCCATCAGCTGAACACCTTAATATAGTCAGATCCAATGTGAGAAGACCCCACCTGGATTCTGGGCCCGAGCCTGCAGTCTAGCCAGGCCAAACTCCCTCACGTTTCAAGGCTTCAGGAGCAGAAGAAGCCGGGACATTAAAGAATTCAGGGCCCAGCTTGTTAACAGGGCATAGGATTAGGGTTATCAGGGAACGTACACACAATACAGACACAGAACTGCTCTCGGACACTTTTCCTGCCCACACCTCAGCGCAAGGCTCTGTGTTTAGCGCCAGTGTCCCTGCTGTACCCAAGCGGCACAGAGTGGGGCTCCCATGCTGACTTGGGTGCTCCTCGGACAACCGTCCATTGTGAGTGAACCCTGAGTGAGCCAAAGGGCTAGATTCTCCATTGCTCAACACCCCCTTTGCATGGCTCGGCGGGCAAATGGGCTGTGTGGTGGGATAGGGCCTCACCTGGCACAGCTGGGCCATGGTTTGGGGGCTGGCCGTGGCTGGAGATGGATTGGCTGAGGGAGGGGGCATGGCCAGGGCAGCTTAGAACCCCATTAGTGGCCTAGTTGGAGATGGATTGGCTGAGGGAGGGGGCTTGGCAAGGATAGCTCAGACCCGCATTAGCGACCCCAACAGGGCCATGACCCGCAGTAGGCCTCAGAACTGACCTAGCCTGTGCCAGGGGCTGCACGGGTCCCTGCAGCCCCTGGCAAGGAGGCAGAAGGTCGTTGGGCCGGGGTGGATAATTGAAGAAGCTGAATGTCAGCTCTTCATTCTACAATGTGCCACGTGTATTTGGAACCTGTGATCTGCCCCCTCCCCTGTGGCCACGGGGCTCTCTGGCCATGGACCAGGGCTGCCCCACTGCCCAGTGGCCCTACCCCAGTCTGGCATGGGGCCTGGTCCCACAGAGTCTCTCACCATGTCACTGCACTGATGTAGTGAGGCCGGGGCAGAGGGGCCTGCCATTAGAACCCACCAGCCACCCCATGTCAAGTTTTAAAACAGGCCTGAAGCCAATCCAGATCTAACAGAGAGTGCTGGGTACAGAAAGGGATTGCTGGGGATCCTGGGTTGTGCTCCCCAGCTGCTGAATTTCAGGGAATCACAGACCAGGTCTGATGTGGCCCCAAAACTGAGATACAAAGAAATCACCCTGGCTGCAAGAGTGTAAAGTCAGTGCCGGGAAAAGGCCACATGAAGTCGGTCACCTACTTGGTCCATGGCTGGCAGGCCCGGGACATATTGGATGCTGAGAAGGTTCCATCGGGGCAAACTTCACACTGGTTGTCACTGAACTCGGTGCCTATGAAAGAAGACGACAAAACTGGATTCTCTCCCGAACGCGTGGCCTAAGGGAGCTTTGATTTCAGGAAGCTCCCCAGCCCCTTCTCCCCACTAGCACCCCCACCATGTTGCACCCCCAGTCCGGGGGTCAGTCCGGGAAGTAGCACTTTAAGCACTGAGCTGCGCTGGGATTTTATTCCTACTTGGCACTTGAACATGTCAGCACTCCATCTAGCACAGGCACGTGTAGAAAAAGGCACCTCCTGCTGCATCACATACCTGGGCCATGACAAGGGCCAAACTCCCAAAGGAACAGTGAAACCAAGTAACGGTGCCGAGTTGTGTAATAGCACAAAGCTGCAGGAGACACAGCAGTGCAGGGTCACATGCCCAAAGGACACCAAGTGACGATACGGCAGCTGGAGATTGAAATCATGTAACGCTTTTCCTGCTGTGCTACCGACTTATGCTGGGCTAGGGTCAGTGCTCACAGCTGAGCTGGTGCTCACTTGGAGACATGGTGAAATCCTGGGGCATTGGCCCAATCCATTCTCTTCAGAGGGGCCAGGATTACACCCCAGAATTGTCAGCAAGTGATGTTACCACCCAGGAGCTGTAAAACCCTCTGGTGACGGGTCATGGAAGCAGGTAGCCAGTCAGGTGTCCCTGTGCCTCGGAAAGCCCAGGCACATCTTACCACACTCCTGTCTGGAGAATTACACTCCACTTACCCACATTCCACTCCTAATCAACTGACTCTACAATTCTTCCCTTCCTGATCTAGCGTGATGCAAGGCTGGGTTCTCTTAGCGAGCTGCCTTCTTCCATCCCCAGATCTCAGGCCTGGACAAAGCGATTCCTGAACAAGACACAGCAGCTCCTGCTTTTCAGTGCATTTCACAAAGTGCGGCTTTGTGAGGTTTTCTGAAGGAGGGCACGTGGGTCTGGGGAACTGGACTAGCTGATCTGTGAACAGTGAAAGCTCTGTGATCTGGCACTCTATTCACCGCAAAAATCTGTTAACCGAATTGTCCCCAGCCACAATACTGCCGTGTATTTATGTGCTTGCGCCTGACTCCCGCCTGTGCAGCCAGCTGTTGTGGGGTTTCTGACAAGCGGTACTGTTGGCTGACATCATCAACAGCCACGTTCTTCCCCCTCTGCCTGCCTCAAGCTGCTGGGAGCCGGATCTGTGGTAGGGGGCCGGGCAGAGCAATAACCTTTGTGATCCGGCACATTCACTTAGCCGGCAACCCCCATTCCGCAAGAGTGCCAGATAACAAGGCTTTCACTGTACATATCAAGTCAACTTACAGCCACCCCAGCACCTACCTCGGTGGTGCATGTTTACACAACTATGCCCGGGTCACTGGTGCACGTCCTAACCAGGAGCGTGTCTACCCACCCAGGAGGGCAGTGTGGGGAGCTGAGAGCCCAGGCCCTTGACTTGGGTGACAACTCTCTGCTTGATTCAGACTAACACGGCTACCCCCTGACAACTCTTTGCTTGGCGCCTGGCTGGCTGTGCAGGTGTGTTACACGTGGCAGTCACCTCCTCAGTGCGGGGAGCCCATCTACAGCCCAGCAACTCTTCCATTGCTACTGCCCTGGCTCACCTGCCTCACCTCAGCCTGGCCTGGCTTTGAACCGTTTTGTCCTGCTCCACATTCGCCCTGGGGCCACAGGTTTTATTACAGCAGTTTTATTGCGTTACCTGGTACCTTCACCCTAGAGCCAGGGAGGCAGACAGTGGAGAGTTGGCACATTTCACACTCTCCATCTCCATGATGAACACAGAAATCCCCCAGTGCGCAGCCGCACACGGTGTTCTTCGTATACGTGCATTTCTCCTTTATCGTCAGCCTGGCTCCTAAGGCAAAGCAACATGCACCACAAAGACGTTTATACAGGAAACAGATCGAGCAGATACAAAAACTAATGTGCACCCTCAGTCCTCACGGATCCACTACTACACGGCACAGGAGCTAGAAGGATTTGTTATGACTCCGTTTAACAAGTGTTGCCATGTACACAGATCCATCTGGAGCCTGATTCTCAGCCGCCCTGCACCCTGTGTTATATTTACATCTCTGCAAAGGGTGCAGGCAAATTTGCTCCCAATTCAGACTTCTCTGCTCAGCTGCAGTTGAAATCCTGCTTTGCACCCACTCTGCCGTCATCTGCACAGGTATAATAATGCCAAAGGTGGTGGAGAATCAGGCTCCCAGTAGCAACATACAAAGCACCTCACCTCTGGCCCAGTGGGTCCCTGGAGGAGCAGTCCACTGGAGGGGGACTGTGGGGTGGGGTAGAGCTGTCACAGCACCGGCTACACAATCCCTCCTCCTGGCTGTCCTCCTGACCCTCATCTGCTGGGATAGCCCTATGGGGCCAGAGGCTGCTGCTGGAAATAGAGAAGCCTGCAGGCTGTTCTAATTCAGGATGGGGACTTGGTCTTGGTGGCCCCCAGAGCTGAAGAGCACAGTGGCGGTTTGCAGTCTCTTGTGTCACTCCAGCCCCCAAGAGAGGTGTGTGTTCCTCGGCCACTGCTCAGGATCTGTGATACAGAAGGGAAGGTTCTAACCACCTGCCCTGAGTATAACACAGATCCTGAGGATGCGGCGCTGCTGATCTAGGACAAGGGACAAAATCTGAAATATAACCAGGAGTCCCGTGGCTCCTTAAAGATTAACATATTTATTTAGGCACAAGGTTTCGTGGGCTGGATCCCACTTTGTCAGATACATCAAGTAGGAAGTAGAAGTTTGCACGTAATCCAGCTGAGGAACCTTGTGCCCAAAGAAATCCACCCGTCTTTAAATTGACACAGGACTCGTCTTTGCTGAAACAGACTAACACGGCAACTCCTCTGAGTCTAATCTGAAATATTTCATGATCATTGTCTATTGTGTGTGTTCCGCTTCTGCTCACTCTAGACCCACTTTCCCCCTGAGAACAGTCTCCGGGGAGGACCCACAGACCTTCATGGAAGAGGTGTGACTAAGTCCCAGGCTCTGTGCAAGAAATCCCCATTTCGGTGACTAGCCCATGGTTGTCAGGGACTCAGTAAAAGAGCAGTGAGCAGCACACAGGCCCCTTGACTTCCAGTCCTGTGTCCTATCCCGGCCTGCTTTTGTGGGTACGAGCCAGGGGAGACAACTCAGAAATACTGTTCAATCCCCCTGTGCCTGAACAGCTGCTTCCTTACCTTTATCGCACACTTTACATCTCAGGCACTCTGTTAGGCCATTGGGATGCTCCGTGTATGTGTCATGCACACAAGGGATGCACGTCGTGCTGACATTTGATTTGCAGTGTCTGACCACTCTGCTCCCTGAAGCAAACAAAACAATTCGCTCCTGTGTAAATCAGGCTCATGCAGCCAATGCAATAATACAGAGACTGCGAAAGCTGGGTGTTAGTCTTGGCAAATACACACCTTCCGTGTATGGATTTTATACGTTGCTCCCACTACCCCTAGAAATAGACAGTAAGGGTATGTCTAGACTACATGCCTCTGCCGGCAGGGGCATGTAAATTAGACTTACCGACATAGTTAATGAAGCGGGGATTTAAGTATCCACCGCTTCATTAAAATAAAAATGGCCACCGCGCTGTGCCGGCTCAGCTGATCGTCAGCACAATGCGGCAGTCAAGATGTGGATCAGTCAACGAGGAAAGCCTTTGCCTACCGATCCCTTATGCCTGCGCAGAGGCATGTAGTCTAGACATACCCTAAATGTCCCAGGAATAGATCGCCATCCCCGAAATCCTCTGTGTCTGCATGACACAGGTACAGCATAGACAGGAACAGTATCTTTAGCTCACACTCACCCTCCCTTTCCAGTGTATTCTTAGCACAGTCGTGCTTAGATTCTGTGACAGGACATGGGACCTTGGACAGATGCTTGTGTCCCCAGTGTGACTAGTTGGGACCTTGGCCCTTTAAAAGAGGCAGTTCTGAGTATTGTCCTTCCTACACCTAGAAGGATGGAGACTCCACCGATGAGGCAAGTGACAGAAGGGATCCTACGACTAGAAAGGGCCAGGGGACAACGGAAGTCAGGTGGCTGCCCACGGCTTTTCTGCCATTAGGCTCAGTCTAGACAGCCTCCTCTTTCAGCAGAGCCCTTATGCCTCGTGAAACAATGTACACAGGGCTCCACAAAAGAGCGCGCTTGCTCTTCCATGAAAAAAAGAGGAAGAGCAAAGGCGTTCCTTGGATGCGGCAGGATTTTTGCGGGATACCCCAAAGTCTAGACGTAGCCCAAGGGAGCAGGCCGGCAGCTGCTCCTCGCTGGCCTGGCCTCTGAGCCCTGGTCTACACTAGGACTTTATTTCAAAATAACTCCCCTTAAGTCAAATTTATAAGTGGAGTATCCACACTACCAAGCCTGTTTTTACAAAATAACAGGCCGATTATTTCAATATCTCTACTCCTGTTTTTCACAGGGAATAATGTTAATTTCGAAATAGCGGTAGTGCGGATGCTCTGGTGCCGCTATTTCGAATAACTATTCCCCAGGGTCATTTGCACTAATTACTCCCCAGTGATTCCTAGGGCTCTAAGTCGAGGTAGAGCATTAACGTTAACGGAGCCTGCCTCCTACTCATTGTGAGGTTTCCCTGTAGTGGGGACATGCTAGTTCGATTTTGTATGATCAGGAGTGAGTAAGTCAAATTTAGTTATTTTGAAATAATTTCCTAGTGCAGACATGCCCTGAAAGGCCTCCCCGGGCGAGGCAGGGAGGAGCTGCCGGGACAGTGACTTGCCGGAAGTATCACAGAACATCTCCCGGATCTCCTGTGTCCCAGGCCTCAGAAACCATCCTCTCTACGTCCCCCCCCCGTCCCCCGCCCCCCGTCCCGGTGACAGGTGACGTAAGAGCCCTGTTTGTTTGCAGCTCAACCACCAGTCCCATTCTCAGCAATAGGGACGAGGATCCTGGAGGAGGCCAGACAATTGGTCTTTCTAGGGAAGGGTCTTGATTTTGAAAAGAAGCAAACGTGCACCTACCAGGACTGCACATGGGGCAGCACTCGCCGTTTATTTCGTATTCGCCTTCCCGGTGACAGGTGACGTAAGAGCCCTGTTTGTTTGCAGCTCAACCACCAGTCCCATTCTCAGCAATAGGGACGAGGATCCTGGAGGAGGCCAGACAATTGGTCTTTCTAGGGAAGGGTCTTGATTTTGAAAAGAAGCAAACGTGCACCTACCAGGACTGCACATGGGGCAGCACTCGCCGTTTATTTCGTATTCGCCTGGGAAGCACTGCAGAGCAGCCGGGTGAGGTAGCTGTGTTATGAGGACAATGCAGAAAATCTTTAGGGAAGAAGAGAAGAAAGAGGTTCTGATTTGCATCACACGCAAGTGGGGCCTGGATCCCTAGGAATCCCCAGGTGCCAGGCAGGGATTCAGCAGTGACGACACTCCTGGAAAGGTCTTTTCTCTGACCTGGACGCAGTGAGGATCAGGCCCCTACGCGTCTTTCAAGGGCTCCTTTGCCGTAGGGTTCTCACGCTGCCTGTTACCGCGATCACTTCTGGGCCCCGAGGTCATGTGACAAGCTGCTCTCCCCTGAAATTAGCTAGGAGCTATATGAACAAGGAAAATACCATCCCTGCGGCCAGATAGAGCCTCCTCCACCCATTTCCTTCCTGGTTCCCCTGCTACCCCTTTAAACAGACCCTGCGCCGTCTCCCCGCCCTATGTAGCAGACCACAAGTGACGGGGCTAAGCGTGCAGCTGCAGCCAGGACTCCACCCGCCATGGCAGCCTGTCCGTGTGCGGGGACAGCAGGCTGGAAATCAGACTGTGAGGAGAGGAATCTGGACTCTAAAGGCCTTTTCTGCAACCTTGGAAGATCCAAATCTGAGGTCTCACTGAGGTCATGAGCTTTGCTGTTGATTCCAGTGGGACTTGAGAGGCTCAGTTCCAGGCTGTTGCTGGCAAGAGTAAGTCTCAGGTCCTACACTGGGTTCTCAAAGTACAAAAACACGCTGCACAGGTATCTGCCAAACACAAGCAGTTTAATTTTCTGACCACTATCAGCTGCGCCCCTTAACTAAAGAACATGATAGGAAAAGTGGCATCTTACATCTCTTCTGAGAGCTGGGGACCCCGTTTCAGCTGCGGATGAAGCTGGAGATCATTTAGCACAAAGTGTTGTGCTCTGGTGCTGCTTTAAATACGGTATCTCTACTTTCTTTGGCAGTTTGGAAATTTCCAGGAGTTGCTCATCACTTGTTACAGTCTGGCTCAGCTGTACTGCTTGTCCTTAGACTTTGTTTACATGATCAGTACATTTGGGTAAACAGGATTGTTACTTTCCTGCCCTTATCTACAATTCGTTCTTGCTACAGTGGCGTATGTTCCTAGAGGCTTGCTTCTGGCTCATCAGTAGCAGGGAAGGGGAGGAGGGGGGAATGCCGGCCTCACCACCCCTATACTTCACACATACAGAGTTCTTCCGCAATTAACCCCTACACAGGCCAGTAACTGGGCAGTGACTCTCCAAGAAGTGCTATGCCTGGGAGCTCAGTGTGTCCACCCTGCACTCCCCACCCCCTCTGAGATATTATCGGAAAGCTGAGCTCACGTGTGGGCGGGTGATGATGTGCAGCTGTCATGTGGTGCAGTCAGCTGGCAGGACAAGTGGAACACTGGCACCACGAGACAGTTTGAGTTTTTCCACCATTCCAGACACACTGTGACATGACTGTGACTTCAGCGTTTATGTTTATTTCCATTCCCTAGTGTACCGGCTGTTGGTCGAAGCTACTCTACGAGATTGTCTTCAAAGATCTGCATTGGCTTTGAATGAGCAAGGACTTTTTTCCAGCAATGATTAAGATGTTTAGTAAGTACCAAAAAGGGCAAATATCACCATTTTATGGTATGAAATCTCTCCACATTGCACAGTCTCGGGCCCATCGATAGGGGGAGGGGCAAATGGGGCAACTGCCCCAGGCCCTAGAAATTCAAAGAGGCCCAGGGCTCCAGCACCACCACGGCTGCATTAACAATGCTGGATGAAGCTCCAAGACTTTTAAATCGATGTTGAAGCTCCCCACAGGAGCACCAGGACACAAGACACTGGCTGGCTCACTCACTCGCTCTTTCCTTCTTGTCAGTTTTCACTCCTTGAGCACTACACAGCAACCGACTGCTGCTTTCTGGTCTCCAGCGCCTTTTATATGGCCTTTCTGGCCCCCAGTTGGCTGCTTCCCCTGCACCCACCCTAGCCTACTTGGAGGACCCTCTCTATTGCCTTTTTTTTTTCTGGGGGCAGAGTGTGGCAGGATC